GTTGCCAGTGGACCTGATAACAGGATGCCCACCTTACGAAGAGTTGCCTGATAATGTGTCGTGAAAGTGTTATCTGAAAGGATGGATGATATTCACCATCAAATGCATTCAAATTTGAAAATGTCTTCTGATTCCATGAAACTATGTTATGATAAGTGATCTACTGAAATCAGCTTTGTACCAGGAGACAAGGTGTGGTTGTATAATCCCAGGAAGACCAAAGGGAAGTCTCCTAAGTTGTCTTCTCCATGGGAAGGCCCATATGACATAGTGGATCGTCTCTCAGACGTGACTTTCCGGATAAAATGTGGTTGGCGAGGTAAGCCAAAGGTGGTGCATGCCAACAGGCTTTGGCATTATCACAGCCCAGAACATTTCAGTTGGAATGAAGTGAACAATAGAACAGACGATGTTGCAGAAGACTAGTCACCTGAGAAGGCCACTGTCAAAGAAGAAATTATACCTGGTTTTGAGAAGGGAAACACTGAATCCCTTGATGAAGTTGCTACCACTGATGTAACTGTTTCCAATAATAGGACAATTCCCAATGGAGCAGATGAACCCCACGTGAAACAGAGGCCAATGAAATGGAGACCAGTATGGAAGAGGATAAGTCCCATAAAATTAAGAGACTTTGTTGAATTTTAATTTTGTGTTTGTAGTGTTTGTAAATTCTGTATATTTAATTAAGTTATTGTTAATTATCTATTGGTTTAATGTAAGTGGCTGTTGTTTGTGACGAACATTAATAATGAAGGGGCGGTGTTACGACAGCAGAAGTCACGTGATGCTAGTAACACGTCATGATATTCTAGAAGGATCATGTCTGTTCGTGGCAACTCTGGTCTTTTCTATGTGCCCTCTATTTTTGTATATAAGTGCGCCAGATAAAGCAAAATTAATTAATCAGAGAATAGAATTGCAGACAGACAGAGAGGGACAATTGAGTCAAGCGTGGTAGTGACCGTAAGTAAAGTGCGTGAATAGTTGTGAATTATAGCGTGTGTTTAAGTTAAAGTGACTGTGGAAATTAAGTGTATTGCAAAGTTGAGTTGCGAAAGAATAAACTAGTTTTATTTAAGAAGGGACTTGTGTCGCTAAAGTTTCATTCAAAAGAAATTATACGGGAAATTAACAAACAAACAGAGACATAACAATACCATTCAATGACAGAAAAACTGTTACTTATCAACAGGTTTTTCTGTAAAGTGACCTGACATCTGGTAGAAGGGGGAGTGGGATAAAGTCATTTCCTAAGAATTCTAGCAGATAAGAAATGAGTCTAATTTGACCTTGCACATGTAGCAATTCGACTAGACTATTTTAGGGGTACAGAGAGAGAGAGATAGCACTATAATGATGCATAAGCAAGCAAACATACAGTCTTTCAACAATATAAGCATCATGTGACCTGAACACTGGAGATTTAATTGTTTGTTTCACAGGTTTCTTTTGCAGCAAAGGAATAATAACTTGGATAATACAACACTTTGAATGATAACACATTTGATAATGCTAATTTCATTGAAATACATTGAGAATAAATTGGTTTAATTAAATTTTGAATGTAACTTGTTAACACTTTGTGAGATGTGCAGAAGGTTATTTAAATAGGGTAGTGGTTGTCATAGGGTTAAACATGCTATTTGCTCATTTCTTTTCTGATCTTGAAAGCAGTTCCTTGCTTTGTGTACAACTTTGCCACAGTTGAAACACTGGAGGCTATCTGCTTTGCTCGGTCTATTTACTACATTTATGGCAGAATATTTAGGCTTATATGTCTGTTTTTCTCGTAGCTTCTCTCGAGTAGCTACTTCAATCAGATCAAGCAAAGTTGCTTAAGGGGTATTTGTTTCATTTACATAACCTCTAGCTGCATTACTGTACAACCCCTGTTCATATTCAGGTTTTAAAGTATCTTATATCATTACCTTATTTGGGTGTATATAAGCCCTGCACAATCTATTACCTAACTCCTGCAACTTATGTCCAAAATCTAAGACAGATTTGCCTCATTGCTGAGTTAGATTGTACATCTCTGTTAGAATTACATTTGTTGTTTCTCACCTCCTATACTCCTCTACTACCCTACATTCTAGAAACTGAAAATCTTTGGTTTTACATAGTTCATTATAAGCCCTAATATAACATTTTGTTTCTCCTGCTGTCCTTAATCTTAATATGTCTGTCTTCTGGGCATCAGTCCAGCCTGATATTCTGGTAGCTTCATATAAGGTGTCAATAAAGCTCTCAACATCCTCATCTACTCTACTGTGATATAATGGTATGGCACTCATGAAATGCGTAGCGCCGCATGGACCTACTTGTGTGAGTTGTTCTGCTGCAACTTTGTGGTTAGTGTCAGCCCTTCTATTGACTCTAAGGGCATGTATCACCCTCTTGTGTAGTCGTGTCTATACTAGCAATAGCCATATTTACTTACTCACTACTTATTTTTAACTTATACTACTTCGACTGACTTTCTTAGTTTTTCTGGCTTTCTTTACTCTAACCAACCAAAAATCCTCGAGGCTGCACCAGTTGTAACGGGCTGCGCCCTTAGGGCTGATTGTTGGAGTTTCAATTATACTGCTGATTACAGCAAATTTATTTATGGAGGATTTGCAGTGGCAAGTGAAGCTCACAAGTCGCTAACTCGAGGTAATTTACAGTTAGAATAAAGAATCCGAGTCCCAGACTAGCATTGAACAAATTATAATGACATTTATTAAATTTTTCCACACAATATACAATATTAATCAAAAGTTTACTAAACATGAATACCCTTTACTACTAACTACATTAATCAATCAAGAGAGATAATAATTTTGTACTTACAACAGAACTGGGCTGGTACTTTTGGAGGTTTGAGACTTTCATATTCATAGTGCAATCTCTCGAATAAGACTGAAAGAACAGCTGAAAAACTGGTAAGAGCTGGCAAGAGCTGAAGAACTAACTTTTCGGCTTCAAACATGAGTTTTCACCCATATTTTCTTTGTATTCTCTCGACCTTACAAATGGTATTCCAAGTTACCCACAAGTAGTCCTTACACTTTATTGGTCGATCTGTGCAATGGGTGTTAGTGCAGTTATTTCGTTGTTAAGCAATATCTTCATTTCTTTGTATAACTCGTGATTCTTAATACCACTGAACCAGCTAGTTGTACTATATAGTTCTCAACCTTATTTCACAATATAGGCGTCTTTACTTACGCCATTTCTTCATGTATATGTTCACTCAAAAACCCAGAAAATCGTTCTAACTTCTCTCTTGAACTCTTTTCAACTACTAAACATACTGAAGTAATTGTAAAATTCCCTCAAAAATATCCAATTGTTTCAACTCAGTGGTAAACCTAAAGGCTTATAGCACTAAAACATGGGTCACAATATTCATGGTGGGCACAGCATAGATAATCGTCCATTGTATGGCTTCGTACTTAACAACAAACAAACAAAATATATCTTTTAGCCCAGACTTTGAGGCTTTAGTAAGAGAGAACATCAGTAATATTTTGAAATAATTTGTATAACTAATAAGTTATGAAAAATTCAATTAAGTGTTTAGATTTTGTTTAAATTATGGAACCAAGAATTACTAGGTAACTATAATCTAATTAATCTGGAAGTTTAATAAATTTATTCATAGTAAAATTTGAAATATGATTGTGTTGAAAAATGAAATATTCGGAGGAACTACGAAACATTGCACAATTTATATCGATATTGTTTTACAAATCATCAGTATTCACAACAAGTTTGTAATTCACTCTGTTAATCTCAACAGAATTCTACTTACATCTCATTTGCATAAATATGTGAATGATGGGGTCCTTTTCCTCGGTATTAAATAGTCCATTCCTAATATGCATTGGTCTTCAATGTCAGCCAATTATATTTTTTGTCTGTTCTTCAAGCTCGATAATTACCCACACTGGTCCCCACAACCTTGCATAATGTCCTGTCACACCACAAAGCTTCTGTACAGCTTCTGGTACGTCTTTGTGATCCAGCACCTTGATACTCACGAGGGTTTGCGGAGATGCAGAATCTATGACAAAGTTGCACCTTTGGCCATCCAGCTTTCCTGTCACATAGACACTATGTTTGCTTGCCATTTTACACTTAGCTGTTGGGATTTTCACGATGGGGGTTGGTGGGCATCCCTCAGCATCAACCACTACTGGTTTCCCGAAACTGACTTATTGGTAGTATTCTTCTTACACTGGCGCCTCATATGTCCTTACTCTCCACAGTTCCAACAACCTTTCTGGGTAGCAGCCTTTCCTGCTGTAGCATCTTCCCTGTGTTGAAGTTGCCAGCATGGAGCTCTCATGTGCCCAGGTTTATTACAGTGCCAGCAAAGTCTTTCAACTTCTCTGAAAGCTGCCCTTTTCTGGCCTTGAATCCTGAGGGCTGTACCAACCTTGGTACCATTGTGCTGGACTTAATGTAGGATTCAAATTCAAGAGCTCTGGCCATTGCATCCTTACTTGTATCTTGAGTTGTAGACTGTCCAAGGCATCTACAAACTGATCCCTCAGCAACAACTTGAGGAAATTGGGTGGTGCAGTTGGGTAGGCCTTGTGTGCCATACTTTCCAAGTTCTGTGTCAGCTCTTGCAGGCTATCCTCTTTAGCACGGACTCTCGTCCTGAACCTAGCCCTGTAGACTTCAGACTGATTTTGTGTTCCGTACCTGAGTTCTAGAGCAGCTAGCAGTGCTCTATAGTCGTGTCTGTCGTCTGCTGAC